CAGCCCCTAAAGCTAGTGCTATACCCGTATCAGTCCCAAGGGTGTCAAGCCGTTAGAGTACCACCCCCGTCTACTCCCTCTCCCGCTCGATCGGTGCAGGGTGCTGGCTACACGAATCCGTGTAGTCGTCTGTATCCAACCACTTTGAAGTACTCGGTGATTTGTCCTTATATTCCCGAAAGACAGGACAATATCACATGCTACGGCGAAGTCATGTATGGGTAAGTGAGGGTACTACCCATTTCTGGGCGTTCGGCTGGCTATGGTACTTGAAGCGTGAGCCTCTGTTCATCTATCAGTTTGATAGAATGAAATATCAAGTCGCCACCGGTAAGGGGACGGGGTCAACTCGATAGTAATCCATCAACAGCGCCCATACCCCGCGGCGCCATTACAACCCTATCTCAAATGTTTGCTAGGTTCCGATGTCAGCCAAAAATGATGCTGACTCCCATCTCAGCGCTAATCTTCCTCCATAAATCGGAATCATCAACTCCAACGGGAGCATCTTTCATATCATCCAACCTTTTCCAGACTTCTTGGACGATATTCCAAGCCTGGCCTATGTTGATCATACCTTGGCGCTGATCAATCCCGACAAACGCCTCCTGGGCGAGTGCTCTGTCTTCTGCGCTTACCGCCTCACACGCGGCTACAAACAAAGGCCACAATAACGCCCCCATAGGTCCTCTATGAGTGACTGTTCCGACGCAATGTATGAGTGCCGCATGAGCATGCTTTTGTACCACCTCACGACGTGGCGAGTACCCATATATAGTACGATATAGATATACAAATGCGCTATGACGGTAAGCTAGGGAATTATGCAGGGTGGATTGGAGGCGTCGTCGCTCTGGAATCTCTTCTCGGCCGCTAGAGCCTCTCAGCACTCCATTCTCAACAATGATATTTGGAGGGAGAAATGGTTCCCATTGCGTGAGGGCGGTCTCGATGGCCTGAGAAGTAGTTTCAAACTCCATTCTGAGGACGGCGCTTTTGGAGGTTTGATTTTCTTGACATGCCTTTTCGATGTCGTTCTTGAGAGAGAGCAGGTTAGATAGGCGATGCATAATAGGCCACAAGGTAGTAGCCATCCCAAGTAAGCTATCAACGTTGCTGAGAGGAGACACCGCTGGAGCGTCCAAGGGAGGGAACGGCACGAGACAGCCAGCAGCTGGAGCTGTTGAAAGAGGGGCCGATCCTAGCGAGAGCGCTGTAATAACATCGTAGAACCGGAAGGCCTTTGTCTCGTTAGTAAAGTATAGCCATCTAGGACCTGATGGTGGTAACCTACACGTTCCAAGAAGAGGCCGGCGGGTGTGGACTCTCCTTGAGAAGAGGACATGATAGTTAGGGCTCCCTTGAGATGACCGTCTACTATACTTGTCCGCCCACGCTGAACAAGCTACAAATTGGTAAGCTCGTGCCACGTAGATCTCACATCAGCCATACAGATACTTACTACTTCGTAGTACACTAGTAGCATGATGGCTGCGAGAAGTTCAGTCTTGTCAACCTTCCCTTCCTGCTCAATTAACCTAGCCAAGCCTTGAATAGCTCGATTGTGAAAATATAGCGACTTTTCTGGCGTTGAAATTCCGCGGTACTCCAGGTGGGCGCTTGCTAACGCGTATACGGCATTCATGATAGGGGCGCTTCTAGAGGAGAGCGGCAGGACCAGCTGTTGAAACGGATTGCCGGACTCCTCCCGGAAAACTATCAAGTGTGACAGAACATTGCAGAAGTGGTCGACTAGGGCGCGCCGATTAGGACGATTCGAAAACTCCGAGAATACTGGCAGAACAAACTCAAGCGTCGGGGAGCCGACGGGGCAAGGAGCAATCATGGCGAGATCTGGCTGTAGAGATCGCGGATGGGAAACCACATTTATACTTGAATTCCTCCGCACCACCTCCTGTACTTGATCCCCATCATCTGCACCGTCGTATTCGTATACTGCAGGGCTGACATCGACTGCAGACAGCGCACTTTCATTAAAGCTCATTGGAGATATGTCGTTAAACTTAGTATCTATAGGACTGAGACAATCGGACTCGGAAACACCATCGGCCGTAGCCTCTTGCCACTGATCATCATCTAGGATAGGTTCACGCGCCCTCCCGTAATCTTGTGTAAATCCAGACAGCGAAGGATCCTTCTTTCTCCGTTGGCGCGGTCTCACTGTCTCGTAGGTGCATTGAAGATCCTTTTCGACGCATCGTGCACATCGCGGTCGTTTCTCGTCGCATTTCTTCTTCTATTCCCCCGCAAAGCAAATTAGAACAGCTCTTCAACTCAGGTTTACAGAATACAAGTTAGTTATAGTTATAGGATAGGAGTCGTACTTTCTCTTTGCTGCATTTATATCGAAAGATTAGCACTTTCGTCAACGGACGTGCAACAGACGAAGATCCGGATATCACGTACCAAGAGGTGCAACCTGTTAGACCAAATTTACGGTCAGCTGCGAGTCCGAGGCAGAGAAATAATCGAGTAGGAAAAGGGAGTCGTAGGAGAGCCAACTGACCTGCTCGCGAACGCCTCTTTGGCACCTTCGGGGGCGCGACTTTGGTAAACAGCAACATATCGCCAACCAGCAACAAGCTTATACTATGATTCCTTCATATTTCATATCGTGTCTCGTGGCTTGTCATAGTACCCCTCAGATTAGATGCTACTCAAGCCAGAATGGCCGAGGCGATATTATGTCTTCTGTGTACCCAACAATCCAAGATTAGAGCAGTATGGGATATAGTAACAGAGTAGATTGAGACACTAGTTAGACTTCTGACAAGCCGACCCGAAGTGGTGGTGGATAGAAAGGAACGGGGTAGAAAGGAACGTAACATAGTTCGATCTCAGTTTTCGGCCATCATCGTGACGTTGTGGAGAAAATGCAGGTCCGTAGCCTAGTCAAAAAGGACGGTGACCGGAGACGGGTTCCGAAAAGGGTAGAAATGAGCACACCTGACAGTTGGAGTCCCTAAGCATTTCGGAAATGAAGTCTAGAACTACTAGAAGTCCCAGGGTCAGTGCAGTACCTGTAGCAGATCCAAGTTCTAAACAGAACGGGGCTACCAGGATAGCCAGGATGGAAACCCATCACGAAGCAAATGTGGAGAAACTTAACGATCGACGAAATCAACTTGCGGGGTTGCAACAGGTACATATTAAAGTGATCTCTTCGCTTGGTTCTTCTCGATGATGAACCCATACAGTCAGATCCAGTCCGTAGTCTTGTTACATAATAGTGAGGTCCCGACTAGGAAGACAGAGATAGAGGAAAAGGTCAAGCCTAAAATCGAGAATTGAGCCTCACTTATTATCCTGAATTAAATAAACGGCATTGTCTGGTCGACACTTATACCTCATGACTCCGGCACCCGTCACGGGCGAGCTCGAAGAGAGTTACTTTACGGAGCAGCACTTTTAATATCCTAGGTCGTACATAGTATAAAGGATGCCACCTCCTATCGAGATGATTAATAACACGGACGGGAAAGGAATATGTGTGATGGGAGACGGCCGTCTATTTCCGGCCTCTACGGATTGATAGGCACAGTAAACTTAGGTACCTAGGAGGTAGTTATACATACAGAACTCGTTCATCTTGAATTCTCTAAGACTACCTAGGTATGATTCGAAGTGATTGGTCGCCTGTATCGTTAAGTAAATAGCTACCTACCTACTTTGACCGCTCGCTAGGTTAGACCCTGGGCTAGTATTGCTAACACGAGATTTGATGTTGGGACGATGAAGAGGGGCATGATATGTACCAACGCTCCCATCGTTTCGTAAGTCGGAACAAGCCGTCCTATTGTCTACTAGGTAGGTATATATTGTTGATGGTTGATAGAGATAACTATAACATGGAGTCTTCGCGGCGAAGGTAGTGTTCTTAATTAGTCCATCCTCGTCTCTGCCGATGTTTGAATATAGAAATAGAAGTAGAAATAGTCTTAAGTCTTACTTTACTATTGTATTTGTCGGTTGTACAAGTCAATCTGAGAAGTGGAAGCTGGGGATCTCCCCTCCATCGATATTTTCCTCATGTCCATATGTATTTCGAGAATGTCTCCGGTACTTATCCCGTTATTCCATAATTATTTTATTCCATACATAATTACCTCCTATTCGACGCCCAAGCCATTGTGCGACCACGCAGGCGTAAGAATGTGGCACAATCTGGTACCATAAAAAGGCTAGCGCAGGTTCAATGTTGGCTAGTGCATAGGTAGGTACCTAGGTACCTCCTTCTAAATTTTTATCTCATCCATCCTATTGTACAGTCTAGGTTACCCTCTATCATCTACCTACCCAACAATCAACCGCATTAGGTAGGTATTATATTTCATCGTGGAATAATACCACTTATTGCCAAGATACCTAGCTCATAAATATAGGCTATCGGCATTCTTCTGCCATGCTACGCGCATGTTAATAAACACCAAGCTATCAGCCCTAGGACAAGGTCACCTGTGAATCAAAGACCACATCTGAGACCCTATTTAAGACCAGATGCTTCCTAATCACGCGAAGTTGATAGGCTTTTTAACTCGGTAGGCTTTAACAAGCCGGTATCTGGTAAGTCATCGTCACATATGTAAGTAGATCCTGACCCTTTAGGCTTAGCATATACTATAGGATCTGGGGTAAATCAGCAAGAGCTCATCGGTGAAAACTGAAAACTGCCTACCCTGTTGGTTATGACCATTCAACGCGAACAAGCAGACGCCTGCAACGCACAAATACCTAACCTAGGTATCTACCTAGGTAGATAAACAAAGAAGCTGTACCAAGTCGTACATACTAGAAGTAGCGGGCATCCATCTTTCTTATATTACATCTCTGATCCAATCATGATCGTCCCGAAACCGACCCCTCGTCTTCTCGCAGCCAGGATGTGCATTTCTTGGGGGCCAGCCATGCAGCTGTGGAAGCTGACGTTACACCTACGAGACACACTCGTCGAGCTGAATGGCGAGTTCGCCATCTGCACCTAATATAATGGATAGAACTAGCTGCAATTAGAAGACCCCCTCCCGCTTTTTACTGCAGGTCAGCGGCCAAGACACCAGTGAATATCTTTTGATCCCCTCCTCAGAATCCCATCTCAACATGCCCACTCCCCTCAACCCTTGTCGTCTTAGAGAAGCGTATCGTGTCGATCTACTCCCTTCTGAGTTTTGCACTTGGCGTGTTCATGACCACAGTCTGATGGGACCATCACGATCTTGGTGATAGGCTTGTTTGAGAGTGCTATTTTTGAGAGGTGCCAGCTCGTAAGCCAGCATCCAAGTAGTGCTTACTTGTTATCGCATCTTTTTCTGCCAACATAGCGCTATACTAACAGAGCCTCACCTTTTCAACTTGTGGTTTTTTCTTCTCTACCTCTTACCTCCAGTTATGTCGGTGTGACTTCTGGTTACTACACCGAGATACTCTGTAGAGACGATCTCGTACGCGAGTCATCCGTTACAAAGTCAAAGGTTAAGCACACTTACATGAGTTCCCTCGAGGTGCTACGAGACGAGAGGCCAGGTGCCGAGGCTCTAAATCCGGCGACATCTCACTCATTTGGGAGTTTGCTCAAGGTATCTGGTAGTCGAAAACGTCGAATCTGAAAAGCCTCACGATGGGAGGATTTCAAACCCGCATGGCCTGCACTGGGTTGGCGGTTTTGGCAGTTATAGCTCCAACCACGACCGCTATGCACGACAATAGATATCAGATCCACCAGTTGGAAAAGAATTATAACATTTTGCGCCACCCAAAACGCGAAGCTACTTGCCAACAATCAGGCTTTACGCTATGTCCTGCTTCCGCAGATGGTGGATGTTGTCCCGAAAACTATGCCTGTGCCATATCGTCCTGTTACGCCACAACGGCGGGACCTACGTCCGCATGTGGAACAACAGGATATTATAACTGTCCACTTACAGCTGGTGTAGGTAAGTCAGCCAATCCAAAGCATCTGTCTAGGGTCTTATAGATACTGACATCCTCGCGCAGGGGCCTGTTGTCCCGTAGGATTTCTCTGTGGGCGCGACACAGAGGATTGCTTGCCGCCGGCCGGAGCATCATATTCACAATCATGCCCATCATTGTGGTTTGGTTGCGCAGCTTCTCTCGGGTATGGTTGTTGCCCAGACGGGATGGTCTGCGGAAGCGCTACTTGTTATGGAACCTCCCTAAAAACGCTTCCGGTAAGCGAAACCGTAACCACTACTGATTCTAAGGGAAATACTATTACGACAGTGATCACGAGCTCTTCAGTCATTTCCCCGGGTCCGGATCCGTCGGATACGTCGTCTGCTACGACTGCTGGCGTAGCAAAGTTAATTCCCAGTACCGTCTCTAAGTTGCCAGCTCTCGAGACTAGTGGTGGCGGTGGTAGCGGTGGCAACAATGGCAACGGTCTCAGTCAAGCCCAGATTGGCGGTATAGTGGGGGGTGCTGTCGCATTGCTAGCTGTTATAATCGTCATCGCCGTAATTATTATATGGCGGCTTAAACGGACAGAGAAGGCTGCCAAAGCCGCGGTAAAGTCCAGACACGGGAACTCCAGCGGTGAACCACACTCGCAGAAATCGGGCTATGGACAATTATCAATATCGGAAGTCGACGGTACGGACGTAGATTCTATCATACGGACCCGGAACGCCCACTTTCGAGCCAGATCTGACTCGTCTACCGCTGGCGAGCAATCCCGTTCGGAGACGCCAAACTACTATGGCTCCAATGCTTCCACGACCCCGCCCGCTTGGCCCGGATATTTCCCCCAGCTTCCAAGATCCGACGCATCAGACGGTCGCCAGTCAAGTCTAGATTCCTATGGCGCACGTCACGATAACGGGTTCTTTCCCGCACGGCCCAGCGTCGACTCGGAGACACCTCGTACGCACGTGCGTCAATGGAGTGACGTAAGCGAATTGGACGGTAGTATTGTCGGCGCGCACGGCGTATCAGAATTAGGCAGTCCCGACGTTCTCGAGGCGGCAAGGCGGCGGTCTAACAGCTCAACGCGCCCGCCCAAGGTCCAGGTCAGACGGACCAGCGACCCATCCGGAAACTCGCGAGGGACGCGCGGCGAAGGCGTGACACCGACAGCAGCCTCTCTAGGAACGCTTACCGAAATTAGCGAGCTACACGGATATTACGGATCTCCAGATATCGCAGTCGGGCAGACTGCCGCGAGGCTCAATAAGAAGAATTCGGCTATTAGCTCATCGCCGGGGTACGACACATAGATACATTGTGCTACGATGTTGCCTTGTATGACTGAAGCCCAAATATCCATCATGGGGGATGAACGGCTTCTACAGATATAGAATGTGTGCATGAGAGTATATGGTCGGTCGTTGGGCTTGTATTGGTCGAAGGGCTAGAATGTGAGGTTGTTCTATGACTCTTTACTTGCTGTCTTTTTGGTGGGAGGAGCTCGTACGGCGTTTATCGGTTATACCCACAAGATCCCACTATTATTTTACATACTTCCTATATGCTTTTAGGACGGGCACTCGGCGCGGATGGAAAATTGCTTGGGTCTTTTACACTGGGGATAGATATTAGCATGGCGCATGCATATGGGGCCTTCTCTCATTAACAGCTCATCTTAGGCGAACTATTTTGTCATGTTTACATCTTAGAGAGGTAAATCGAATGCGTCAATACCTTCCACAAGTTGTTAAGATTTATTTATTAAAGAACGAGCTTGTGCCGTGCCAAAAAAAAAAAATACTACCTAGGTATAGCCTCTTGTAACAGCGAAGTAGAGCTCATCACAAGCTCACATTCTAACTTTCCTTTCCTTACCACACGCCAACCTCCAAATTCTGATTAGACGGTGTCTACGTCTCAATCTCAGTGTGGGCAACCTTCTCGTCGGCGATTGCGCCAGTCTCGTTACCGCTCTCTTCATCGACACCAGTGTGCTGGCGCGTTAGCCCAACCTCAGTCGTCGAAAATGCATCCGCGGGATCCCTATACGCGGGGATGAAGTTAACGGCGACAGCATAGGATAGGGCTGCGACGAAGAAGCATAGGGGGACGACCATAGCAAACGCGGTCTGGCGCGCATCGGCTGCGAGTCCCGTCAACGGAGGCACACACGCGCCACCCATCACTCCTGCTACAAGCCAGCCGGAGCCGCGCTTCGTGTGACGGCCCAATCCGCGCATACCCAATGCGACGATTGTTGGGAAACAGATGGATTCGAAGAATAGCGTCACGTACAGCATCGACATACCCGTCCAACCACGCTCGGTGATAGACGGTGCGATGAACACAACACACAAAGTCAGGAAAGTTAGGAATACCCAGCGAGGGCGGACATATCGCATCAAGATCGCGCCGAAGAAGCGACCCCCAGCAAAGCCACCTTGGGCGCCGGCAAGTAGGCGTGAAGCAGTGGAATCATCGGCAAGGGGCTGGGTATCGCGTACGTAGTTGATGAAGTAGCTGGCGATGGCGATCTGAGCGCCGGTGTAACAGAACTGAGCGAAGGCGGCATGGAAGAGTCGGTACTGCTTCCAAAAAGGCTTATCATCAGCGTTGGCATGGGTCTCGTTGGCTTGGTATGCCATGTCGGCGTCGGTAATCTCAGGAATGTCGGAGAGATAGAAGGCAAAAGCAAGCACGAATACGAAGATGGCAATCGCAATGTACACCCACTGCACGTTTCGCAGCGCCGTCACGTCGTCGAATTTGAAGAAGACGTACGAGCCCAACACGGGAGCTACTACAGTGCCAATACCGTTGAAGGCCTGAGATATATTGATGCGTATCTCAGCATATCGAGGCGGGCCGCAGACTTTTCATACGTGTAAGTATAATCACCATCCCTTATAGAGCTATAGAACCTACCGGTGATGTACGGGTTCGCAGCAGTCTCGAGGGAGCCAAGACCATTGCCAATAACGAAGATGGCCATGCAGAACCCAGCGAAAGACTTCGCCTGGATACATGGGAAGGCGATCAACGCACCGATACCTAATAATACGTCTAGTCAGTCGAGACGAGTTCATACTAATATATATGCATATGTATATACGAAGGTGTCACGTACCGTATAGACATAGACCCCATATGAACGTGGCCCGATAACCGTAGTGGCGCAAGATCCAGTTGGCATGACCGAGAGAGGCGAGAGGATAGGCGCTGCAGTAGACAATTAGCAATGATTCCGCACGTGTAACCCATGCGAGGTAGGCGTACCCGAAGTATGCGGCTTGTAGACCGGACGAACGCGATTTAGTAACACCAAGTGTGTTTTGGAAATGCTTGTTCAGCGTATCGAGAAGGCCTAGTTACAATAAGTTAGCCAGGATGCCATGCGCCATCGTATATGCGTATAACCCAGCACCGATTGTCACGCAAGGTCATGGTTACATACCGTAACTAAATCCCCAGAGGAAGAAAAGAACCGTTACGAGACAGATCGGATAGAGCGACTCTCGAAGAGTCAGTTCGGCCGCCTTCGTGCGACTGTCGTCTTTAGCTCGAAGAGAACGCCGCTTGATGAACTCCTTGAAGCCCATCTTGCCAAGTCGCGAACCGGTATGACTACTATAAAAAAGCCCAAGGAAGCAATCTTGGCAAGACTATAAGTGGTCACGGGTGTCACGGTAGAAATTGTGTCCCTACGGTAAATGGTGGATAGTGTCTTGAGCCGAGAACTCGGGAGTTGTCTTGACGAAGGGCAGCACCCTACTATTTATTAATATAAAATGTCAGCTCTCTACCTAGGGTCCCAGCGTCTTTCCCACGCCAGCCTACCTATGTACATACATAGGCGGTCACGGTTGAACGGCGGTACTACCTTGCTACTTTGATACCTGATACCTAATACCTGAGTGATATCTTACCCTTACTAAATACTTCTCATTCCACCCTAGCAACCACCGCCGTTGCTAATTCTCCATTTAAACTAACCCTTAGAGGCTAAGGAATCCGGGGGTCTAGGTGTGGAGAAAGACCCGAACCCCCTTTGGAGTTCTGTGGAGTTGTGGAGTGTGGAGAGGCCGCAATTAGCCCGAGGCCCGAATTCTCTTCGTAGTATAGTGCGATGGGGGAAGCGGTACTTGGGACCAGGCTGGCTAGGAATAAATATGATTTAAAAAAAACTTGGTTCGTCATAGCAGCGAAGGCTTTGGGTTAGTTGATCCTTTTTGTAGATCATGGGACCTTATTGGTTAGCATCCCTGCCGTGTCTTATGCCGTGCAACCCCCGTCTTGACTTTATATCCCTGGAAGTCTTCTTCCATGTTTCCAAGAACCTGACCCCAAAAGTAAGGCTAATGGCAATTACGACAGCGCGTCCCCATTTGTGCGATCTAACTATGCCCTTAGCTAAGGAGACACTTCCTATCGTGGACAATCAGATAATAGTTGCATGTATCGGACAATTTAGTGTCATGAAAACCTAGGTATGGATATAACTCCACCTCTTCGGTCATCCACAAGCAGTAGAACGAGAAGAGTCGAAGGCAATACCAAATGATAATACCGCCGGGAGTTCCACTAACCCACTAACCTACAACTAGTATCTGAGCGTCAAACTACATCAATGACGCCGGCTTCCCCGACATGCTTCGCAACCCCTCTCTAGCCTCCTCATAATCGCTCTGCTGATCGTAAAATGTGAATTGGAGAAGCTTAGCTTGGGACGTAGTCAAACGATGAACCAGGTACAACACGGGAATATCCGTCAAAGTTTGTCGCGATTAAAAGTACGTGTACGTAATATCTACATCAAACACACGAGAAGAAAATTACATGTAGGTACCTACTGACCAACTAATGTTATCTACATACCTTTTTGGTCCGCTAGTTCACCTCATTATCAAGTTTAAAAGGCGTTAGTATACTTTAGTAAGCGTGGATCCTCAACATAGAGGAGCAGAATAGCGTTAAAAGATACCCCATACTACATGTAGCCATCACAGTATGGGGTATATTTTTGACGGCATCCTGGAGGAGCTACTCCTAGTGTTAGGATAGTAAAGTTGTTCCCATGCCTTCTAGTTCCACCTCGTAATGCCTACCTGTTAATAACGCATCGTACAAGCGTTAAAAGAAAAAGGATAATAAATCCATAGTCGAATGAGATTTTATATCGTGACAGAAATGTTAATAAGGCCGTTTGCAAATACGTTTGCTACTTGGGTGGTTAATAAAGTATATTATTGGGCGAGTCTTTAAGTTTACCTACCTAGGTATCTTCTATGGTAGAAGAAATATATTTCAGAAAATCACTATTCTGTCGAATAATTCCAAACTTTTGGCAGCAATGTGTTTTTCTTCAAGCATTCGACTCCATAATCTAGCGATGAGATTTTCATTCTCGAATTGAATCGCTAGCCGCGTCTAGAGAACTATTCCCCCCCTAGATAATATCTCCACACCAGACCATAATAGGTAAATCCATTGCTGATATTTGTTTCGGCGAATTGCCACTTTTATCATTTCGCTGCTACGGAGTGTCCCTTGGGGAACTACTTTTACGAAACTTATCGATCAAGTTTATTCTTTATATAACTAGGCGATTACCACTCGACTAAGAATCATCTTCAAGATGCCCGGCGCGCTATTCACATGGCAATAAGCTACTTGCTCGCCTCTATGTTTGCTATCTACCGAATAATAAAGGCTTAAAAAGGCACGTTGGCCTCCGGGCACTCAAAGTCGGTGTAGCCGTGGCAGCTTAGAAAGCCGTTTTTCACGTATAGGAGGTTGTCTAAAATCAGAAGCCAACATTAGTATCTGGTTCTATTCACCAAAGCCTAACCAAACTCACCCAGCTGAACTGCCGTCTCTTGTGTTCCGCCGCCGTTGTGGTCGCCTTTTGCACAGGTACAGGCCAGCATACTCGTGCCTTGAGACGTATATAGGACACATCTATCGCATGAGTCTAGGAAGTGGCCCATCCTCTGAGGGCGTATGTTTCCCCCGTCATTAGTGTAACACCTTTAGTTATCAGTATACTCGGTACCGTACGGATTAATGAACATTTGGAAGTAGTATAATTCGCTTACATGCTGAGGTCTAGGAATGAGCAGCGTGACGCATGAACATCGTTGTACAAGCCGCCGCAGGTGCCTCGAAGATAATAGACGCCGGGTCTAGTTTGGGACTGAACTAGTTCTAAACTGTCGCTATCGCACTGGAGGCGAAAAGCTTTGACGGGGGTGCCATTGCCGATGCCGGGAACGGAGTTGGCAGAAGAGATAGAGGAGGTTGCGGATCCGCTGGGGTAAGGAGCAAAAGACTCGGTCGGGAAATGAGAGAAAGACTCGGTCGGTAAACCGGTTTGAGTCGTATTCGGGTAGGGGTTGAAGGACTCGCTCGAGGTCTTAACCAGAGTTTCGCCAGGGGCGGCGTAGCCTTGACGGACCTCGGCCACCGCAGACGTCAAAGAGGCGACGAAGAGGGTGAGGGTGAACCAAATAGTTATAAACTGCATATTGAAGGAATTGGTGACGATTGAATCAACCCGAGTGTAGAGTCTGTGAATCGTTGTTGATTCCTTGATCAAGTGCAACTGGGAAATTGGATGGTGGAGAATGCGCCAGCTACGTTGAAGAACTTCAAGTTCGAATTACAGGCATTTACCGCTGGAGGTTAATAATAGGTCATGTAGGTACCTACCTAAGTAGTAACGTACGTAGTTGCCTTTAGTAGCAGTTTCCGTCGTGTAACTTCCGAATGTATCCCTTCCGTCTCATATTCAGTTTGGCAGTGCCTTAAATATTCTAGGTTAACTCTTAGGGCGATACGAGCCCCTATCCTAAATTTACTAACACGAATCGCATGTCAATATACGGCGGAGGTCTTGCAAGAGACCATATTTATCCTCAATATATGAGCTAGCATAATCTACATGAAGTCCGCCGATGCCCAAGTTTCATAAGCAATGCATACAATACCAAAACCCCTGAGGTAGGACGATATAGCATAGATCCCAGCCCGTGGTGTTTGGCGGCGATAAGCTCGGGTCGGATCCGGCTCTCAAAACTTGAGCCATTATCCCGGGTGGCGGCAAATACACATTAGAAGAAGCATCTGCCATTCTCTAATCGTAGCAGCGATACGGTATGATAGATTCCAGTGTCTAGAATAAGTATGTGCAGAAATTGACACCTATTCGGGTGCTTAAAGGAGGGTGTACCTATGATACATAATGTCAGCCGCATCGCGGTTAAATGGCATCTAACCTAATACCCGATTTAACATGTGGTTCCTTTACCCATTCTCAGTGGTCTAAATCGCTAAGCGGCGAGGCTTGCTGGATAATGTACTGTGGCTCAGGCGGACTTATCGGCGAATCAATACCCGAAATATTCCCTAAGTAATCCTTATCGACCCGCTTTGATAGGTTTTCTTCGTCCTACCGTCCCACTCTTTCCGCCATCTTCCGGCCAAATTGTTAATTCTTTTTTTCTGGAGTCAACACACACGACGGCCTCTTCCTGTTCCTTCTAAAAAGCCTCAAAGCAGCATAAATCCTCGACTAAGGCATCACCAATTGGGCCTCTCTCGTGCACGACTTGACTATTCGTCGTCACTTCTTCTAAACTCTCCTCTCAATTTAATTTTCTTTTCCATTTTTGTCTCTGCCCGGTATTCACAATGGCTGCCGCAAAGGCTGTTAATGCGCCTGCTCAGGACAGCAGTCTTTCTCTCTACTCTAAATTCGCCCTTGCCGGCGCTATCTGCTGCTCCGTCACCCACGGCTCGCTCACCCCCGTCGATGTGTAGGTGTTAGGTCCTTTCCCCCCTTTGTTGGCGTACCTCCGGACCCGCGGCACTCGAACTACAGCTCATTTCACTTGCTTTCCGGCTATAATTATATGCGCAAACTTCTTCAGCTAATACGGATTATATACAGCGTGAAGACCAGAATCCAGCTTGACCCCGTTACATACAACCGAGGTCTCATTGGCGGTATCCGTCAGGTCGTTGCAAATGAGGGTGCTGGTGCCCTTCTGACCGGTCTCGGCCCTACCTTCGCTGGATATTTCCTCCAGGGCGCCTTTAAGTTCGGTGGATATGAATTCTTCAAGCAGCAGTCGATCAACGTTCTCGGCCTTGAGAATGCCTCTCAATACCGAACCGGCGTTTACCTTGTCTCGTCCGCCTTCGCCGAATTCTTCGCCGACATTGCCCTCTGCCCTCTCGAGGCCACCCGTATCCGTCTCGTTTCCGAGCCTACTTATGCTAGCGGCCTTGTGAGCGGTTTTAGCAAGATGCTCTCGCAGGAGGGTATCGGTGCTTTCTATGCCGGCTTTGGCCCTATCCTGTTCAAGCAGTAAGTATATATACACCTGGGGATCCAATTGAACAAAACTAACCCAACATATAGGGTTCCTTACACCATGGCCAAGTTCGTTGTTTACGAGAAGGTCGCTGAGACTATCTACCGACAATATCCCAAGGAAAAGATGTCTAATGGTTTGCAAACGACCGTCAACCTGGGATCTGGTCTGATCGCCGGTTTTGCTGCTGCCATCGTCTCCCAGCCCGCTGACACTATGCTGTCCAAGATCAACAAGACCAAGGGTCTCCCCGGTGAGAGCACAACTAGCCGTCTCATCAAGATTGCTAAGGAACTTGGTCTCCGCGGGTCCTACAGCGGTATCGGTGCTCGTCTCTTCATGGTTGGCACTCTAACTGCCGGTCAGTTTGCCATCTATGGCGACATAAAAAAGGCATTGGGGGCGGTAGGTGGTGTAGAGATCTCCAAATAGATTTCAGGATAGAGTAGGAAGTAGGGCAAGAGACGTAGATTTGATGAAGTCGCATCAATTGTAAATATAGAAGAAATACTAGACTAATGTATCACGTGTTCATCACGTGGTTTCTATAACACCCAGCTCTGAACATGTGTTAACTCAGATGCCATAGTTTAAGGCGACTTCTTTACTCTTGAAGATGTCTTAATTTGAAGCGCGGCCTGATACAAAAATCTCCTGGTACCAGTCTTGGACCCCGTCTCCTATTTCATGGCATCTTCCTTGCCGCTTTCATCATATTATTGGAAATATCTATTAGCTTATTCGGTCTTGGGACGGCGACTGATAATAGCCTGCATCATTACCTCTGGACTCTAGTACCGTCCACATGCTTTGTTGGATTGTCCCCTGACCTCGGGTTGTGCGACTTTGAATTACGCTGCTTAGCACCATTAGATTTCCACACCGAGCAGCCTTTTTGTATCTTTCGCTGATGAGTTGAGAATCAACCCTCTTTGGCGCTCGTTAAAGGATTGCCATTAGAGCGGCATTGAAATGCTCATTCTGATAGGGCGCCACATCTATTGAATTTGACATCGAACAGCATATGAGTCGCCCTTCAACCAATCTATCCATATGCTCTAGAAAACCAGAAATATTTGCAAGTACAAATAACGTTTCCTATTAATATAATGTTTTATAGGCTAGTTTATACGAATAAATGATGATGGTGAGAAAATACGTGTGTTTACCATCGATACGGTGGAAGATGAGAAGAGTGTCCGATGTGCACGGACGGCCAGTCCGGACTTTGGTGGGCCCATCGGGTAGAACCAAAACGGCCCGAGCCGATAGAACTGACATCACTGCTGCTTTAGCTTTTAGTACTTAGGTACCTACATATACTCTCCTGCTCTTCCAACAACCTTAGGTTAATATTCTCTTAATACATATTTCTATAAGAATGGCTCTCGCAAATCGAATGAAGCAATATGAAACCGCATTCAACGTGACGCTACCTATCTCGTCTCCGATCGTTCTGCGTATAGATGGCCACTGCTTCTCACGCCTCACGGCCCAGACATACTTTCGGCGACCCTTTGACCAGCGCATTCACGATGCCATGATTGCTACTTGCTCTGACTTTCTACTGAACTTCTTCCCCGATGCTACTGTTGCTTACACGCAGTCTGACGAAATCACGCTAGTGTTTCCGAGAGGTGATAAGTTCTTTGCCCAGCCGGTGCAGAAGATCGCATCTCTGGTTGCTGGCTATTGTAGCGTGCGGTTTAATGCGCACCTTGCAGCTTCATTAACCCCGGATCTCAGAGATCAGCTCCAAGGCGGGGTTGAGCTCCTGCTTGGTACCGTATACTTCGACGCCCGGTTCTTTACTGTGCCGAGCATCGAGGAAGCTCTGAACTACTTGCTTTGGCGATGCTCTGATTGTGCAGTAACGAGCGGCATCAATGCGCTTGCGAGTACCTTACTTAGCGATAGCCAAATCCGCAATAGGACTTGCGAAGAGCTAGTAGAGATGATGCGTCGGGAGAAGAACGTCATCTACGAGGAAGTCGTACCGAGATGGGCAGTCGAGGGATGCCTTGTGAAGAGGGAGTTATATCATCATGAGCTCCCGGATACTCGAATAGGCCAGACGGGGAAGAAGTCGGCGATGACGACTCGCACCAGTACGGAAGAGAGGGGGGTCAAAGAATTCACTACGGACAACCTCAAATTAGTAACAGAAGAGTATTGGAGTGACATTGGTTCTTCTTCAGTTTCTAAGAGGGTAGTTCCTATTATCACTGATAACAGCTCTGTTGACACTGCAAATGCGACTATATTCGGTCCCAACGTCTACGTATTCGATCCGAAGATGCCCGCAGCTAATATCCAGGACAAAGTAACAGCCATCTTCAAGCAGATGGAAGCTAACGAGTTTGGGACGGAGAGGTATGCTCTTCTTTTTAAACCGGGAGTCTACAACATACTATTTGATATAGGCTTCTACACGCAGGTCGCTGGACTCGGTAGGAATCCAGACGATGTGTTGATTGAAGGCGGTGCCAACGTTCCGGCCTACTGGATGCCGAACCGTAACGCCACGTGTAACTTTTGGCGAGCATTCGAGAATTTTTCTATCAACGCCTCGGCGGCCACTAATAACACTACGACGATTGCAGTCTCACAAGCCGCTCCACTGCGGCGCATACATGTGCGAAGCTCGAACGGTCTCTGGCTATTCCAGGTCGACCCGAGCACGGGAGCGGGAGGTTGGGCTTCTGGAGGGTTTATGGCCGATTCAGTAGTTGACTACCAGGTGCTTCCCGGCTCGCAGCAGCAATGGCTATCACGAAATAATAAATACGGTAGCTGGGCTAACGCCGTGTGGAATATGGTATTTGTCGGTGACTCCAGTGCACCTAGCCAAGATAACTTCCCAGCTTCCCCATATACTACCGTGGATCGGACTCCTATCGTGAGGGAGAAGCCTTTCCTTTACATCACAGCTCAGGGTCAATATGAAGTTTTTGTGCCCGCATTACAGACCAACACAAAAGGGCCTAGCTGGACGGATGGGTCTTCAACGGCTGGCCTGTCTATCCCTATTGACCGATTCTACATTGCTCAGCCCTCCACATCCAGTGCGGCAAGTGTCAATTCGGCGTTAGATTCTGGGAAACACGTCATCTTCGCACCGGGAATCTACAAACTTGACCACGCCTTGCGAATTTCCCGGGCGAACACCATCGTCCTTGGACTGGGTCTACCCTCGCTTATTCCAACATGCGGTCAACCAGCTCTAACCGTTGCCGACGTAGAGGGTGTGACGCTCGCGGGTCTTATAATTGATGCGGGCGAGATTAGTTCACCAACTCTCGTCGAAGTCGGACCGCCGAATAGTTCAGCCGATCACGGGACAAACCCGACGTTTCTCTACGACTTGACGATACGAACGGTCGGCCACGCCAAGAACGAGGTCGGCATCATCATCAACAGCTGCAATGTAGTCGGCGACCAGCTTTGGCTGTGGCGGGCGGATCACGGCGACGGTGCAGCCTGGGACGTTAACCCTACGAGCAACGGCGTGGTGGTCAACGGCGACAACGTGACGATATATGGTCTGTTTAACGAGCATCACAAAGAGTTTCAGACAGTCTGGAACGGAAATAATGGCCGACTCTACTTTTACCAGTCTGAAATCCCCTACGACCCCCCTAACCAGGAGTCATGGATGAGTAAAGACGGGAGGGCCAACGGGTTTGCCTCGTACAAGGTCGCCGACAGTGTGACGAACCACGAAGCTTGGGGGCTAGGCATCTATTCGTACTTCCGGGACTCCCCTACAAAGCTGGAGAACGCCATCGAAGTTCCGGAGGTCGAGGGCGTCAAATTGCATCATATGACCATTGTGTGGTTAAACGGAGTGTCTGGTAGCGAGATTACTCATATTGTCAACGGGGTTGGTGGCCGTGTCTATGCGAACCAGCCAGAGTCTGCGATGCGCCAAACCCTAAACGAGTTTTCGGGTGGTAGCAAGTCATAATCTGAACTTGGGACTGCAGCATATCTTCTGATAGTTTCGTAAAGGCTCGTTTCTATGGTATAATCCTACCTAATTATCTGATACTTGCTGGTAAGGCTCAACCTGTGCTATATCGGTAGCTTATTGACAGCTAGGATTATGGGATAGGATTTACATATTCAAGGTTTAATCGCAGCCAAATATTTCGTCAGCTTAGCTCTCGGTCACGTCAGTCGCACGCCAGTACGCAATGAATAGGCTTGGCGAATACATATCTTATAAGAATATATCTGAGGATGCATGGTATGACCTGACATGCAATACCTCATCCTCCAGCACCTAGCATCCGGTCTGAGTGGGAGGGGAATGTATTACATAGATCATATGACACGTGTAAAGCCCGAATGTTTTCGATGGGACCATTTCGAAGTTTAGACGTTATCTCCGATACTCTGACGGACGAATAGAAGGTACGAATGATATTGGTTCAAGCTTCAAACCCCAGGACCCCCAATGCATACGTCTCCAGTGTGGGTAGATATCCCCGCGGTTCCGGAGTTACCCACGAGGGGTCTTGTACATATGTAGTTCCTAGCCTAGTCGTGCTCAGGCAGCCCATGTAAGGTTAGTTAGGATGTTGCATCTTCATGCACGTCTAAACGCGTGTGTATGTATATACTGGCAGCCTGCTATACCCAGAGGCTGAACTTCATACGGTACCCAATAATAGATATTAGAATGTTGCATCGAGAGTTGATGTCTATTAGTGTTGGTCTTTGCTTTCGTGAAATATTAACTACGTATACATATTAAATCGATAAACGCGATGCTATGTCTTCCGAGTAATTAACTACTCATTACGTCACGAGTTTTTGCTATCTACCTATGTATATTTGGCGATAATATACATGGAGGGGTCTGCGTTATGAACCCTAAGAGATCTGTGCCATCCTAGATAGATTGCGGCGGCGGCGATGGCTTGTTATGATATGTATAATCCCAGACTTGTAGGATTGTAAATTTGTAAGGCAGGTGACGTTGTTTGTACGACTTCTACTACGCGTAAGTTAGTGCACAGAAAGATCTCGCCTTGAGATTAGGAATTAGAATACAAAAGAATGGCGCTTCAAAAATGCATTAGCAATTGGATTTGGGCACAAAAACTAAAAAGAAAAGAAAATGTCCGAAAATCGCTGGAGCTACTTAGCCATATGAAGATCGGTGGAGACCGATAGCTCCCGAAGTGGTACGATAGCAGCATGATAATACTAACAATCACAGCGACTTGCAGCTTGCTTAGGAGGTAGGTTTGGTACCCAGCCTTCTTAGGCTTGTTAGGTAGTAGTAGCTCCTTACCTAGGTGCTAAACCAGGCAGTAAACCACTACATATGTAATCGTCCAGGCACTTTAGCTTTAACCATCCCCGGTTTCCCCCATCTAATGTTCCTTCCACAATCGGCGTCAGACAGCCGCTCGTCCTAAGCACACTACAGCACGCTAGGCTTTAGGTACTTAGTCGGAGTGACTAGGTAGTATCCCATCCCACAATTTAAGTTCGAATCGGAACTCGGAGATATCAAGATTTGACTGACATTTTATTGCATTCTCCTCTTGCTCAATCTCTGATCAAAGCCAACTCCTCCGTACTCTATTAATAACAAGCACAGAGGAGGGAAAAATCAACAAGGAAGAAAGTTCACCTAACGTCATCATCATCTAAAAGTCTGTTGTACCTCAATCTCATCTTGTTGCTCTACTCGGCTTCTTCAACCTTCGTGTTTTCCCCCAACAGAAAGTCCGAATTTCGCTAAGATTAAACAACCTCTGTCGCTACTAATTCATAAAGCCGAGGCAAAGAAATTCTTGTCATATTTCCCTCATTCGAGTCCGCCCACCCTAGAAAACAAACGTCCTATATTCTCATTCCCAATCGCAATGTATGCCACACGAGTTCTACGCCAAGCGGCAGCACACGCCGAGCGCACTCCCTTGATTCGCTTCATTGGCAAGCGATCCGTCCCTGGTATGTCCTTTGAAATATTAAGAAGAGCCTGGGTTTAATGCCCTCTTCCTCAACGTAATGGTTCACTTTCTTGCTGACACTAATTCACTCTCGTAGAAAATGTAGACCACACCCCGCAACCGCACCCGGCTTCCCCCAGTGGTGCCCTCCCGTCTGGCTTCGGCAGCGGCGGCAACTCTCACACGTCTTTCTCCTCGTACCGTGACCACGCTCAGCAGCATGGTCCTCTACGTAAAACCATTGGTGCTGCCGGTGGCATTGGCGCCCAGCCGGCCGCCCACCTAGGCCCCGTCGAACCTCCAAAGGGCATCTACTTCGACCGCAACCAGCTTCCCGAGCGCTTCCGCCGCGTTCCCCTCACAGCAGCCGAGATTGAGGCCGTCGAAACAGGCGGCGCTGCTTTGTTCGGTTGAGGTCCCGCTCTATCTTGGCGGGTATAAAGCGCAGCCGTGCCCGTGCGAGTATGACAAACATACGACGTTGTGAATTCGACAGAGAAGAATGGCAGGCAAGTTGTGTTGCTTGGCGCTTCTGATGGTTTATAATTTAATGGCATTCAATGATGAACGACATAGAAAGCATCGAGCCATGACCGTCTAATGGGACGAACTGTTCAGGTGAATCAACTGCACCTATGAGGGGTCCTATATTCTATGTTACATATCCATGGCTTACGCAAGGGCGGGGTGGTTCAACTGAAATTAATTCCCAGCATTGGAGGTGCGTCAAAAGATTTATGTTTTTGTGCGGTCGCCATAAAGGGTTTTAGCATGAATTTGGCGCTTCGGGGTTCATCGTATGGGGTATAGAAGCATGGGAATGAGGAGATGATAGCCGAGACGACAGTTCGCGAGAAATATGGATACCTCGTGGTCGTGTGAAGGAGAAAGTTGCCTTATTTTCCTTTGCCATGATGTGTACGATGTTGCTAAGAGATAAAATACAATAGGATGGTTGTAAATTATATAACCCCAGCAGTGGGTTGGAATGTAGATCACTTGTCTGTGAAAAATGGGACAATGGTATCGAAGACCGTGCTTGAATCGTTATGTAGATTTCCGCATTACATACGATGGAGCCTGTGGAAACCCAAGTATAGAATGTACCTATCATAAGGGCATCTCTGAGCTTTAATAGTCTTCAGTATTACCCGTGCTATTCGTGTTTGCCAAGACCCATTTTACTACTAAATGTTTGAATCTAGGCAAAGGTATTCTAATCTCATCGCCAGTAACGCCCCCAAATTGCATATTCCTCTTTGGTGCCGCGGAACTTGAAACCAATCTCAACTACGTCTCGAAACCCTTCTTTGGCTTTTGGTTCCTTGAAGCGAGAGAAGTATGCATTGAATGCGAGGCCGGGAAGCGCTGTGCGGGCTTCTGGGTTCATCTGCAGTTGTAGTTTATTTAGCAACAGTTTCTCCGTATACCATGTAATATTCCCACGGGTAGGAGGTGAAGATTGAGTATTTTTTATATTTCAAGTGTACATACCGGCTTGTTGAGAGCCCGGACAACGTCGTTATGCTCGCACAGCGCTTTGGGTACGTTGAACCAGACGCAGCGAATGGGCACGTTATTCTTGCGCGCGAATTCGATCCATTCTTTTCTACCGTCCGTATCGGCGTTTGTGTTGTCTTTAGGCATTCCTCTTAGCATAATATTCCTAGGTTGCTTGTAGTAGAAAATAGACGGGGGGAGGATTGGTATGATATGCACAAGGGACAAAGTCGCCTACCAATAACTATTGAGTTCCCTTCGCCAAGGGACTCTCCGGCGGCCTTGAAGCACTTGGCCCGAGTCTTCAGCGTATCCTGATTCACACGTTCATAACCTAGCGGCTTCAAATTTCGCCAGTAAAACGTACTTTTGCCGGCGCCAGGCGGTCCGCAGAACAATACGATATCCTGTTTATTAGTCTTCTCGAACAGGACCTCACTACTCCCACCACTATTGCTACTATCCGCCTCCGCCTCGAAATATGGAAAAGATGCTAAGTTAAAATCTCTCGCGAATTCCCGTGGTGGTTCACCAAGGAAGAACTCTTCGGGCGTCACATAGGTGATGCCAACATTATGCGCGAAGTTACGATCCGAGCAGCTAAAATCCTTCGTAGCGGCCACACCCGTCCTACCAGATTTCAGCTGCGCCGTCCGGCCACCTGCGTCGCCCACAAAAATGCTACCCGCAAGGTCAATCTCGTCCTCACGTAGACCGTAATCCCGGCAAAGTTCTGACCACATGCCAGCGCGTGGCTTGCGAAAGCCGTCGTAGCCGGTAGCAGCGTATATGGTGGTGGGCAAATCGAGTTCGGCAAGCACTGCGCTACACTTCTGCTTGAATTTATCGACTTTGACTTTACTACCAGCCTTCGGTGCCTTAGACTTTGGATCCGGGTGCAGCGTTAGCCCGCCTTGGTTGCTAAGAATCACCACTCGATAGCTAAGACGTGTAAGCGTGATAAGTCTAGAGAGATATTACAACTGCAGTCGCGTACTCTTCTTCTGCGTATAGTTCTTGTAACCGGGACGGCACGCTGGAGTCCCACCACTTCCAATCGCTAGGATCGTCTGTAAATTTCTTGCCTGATACCGTGGTGATCAGGGTCGAATCCTGGTTTAACCGTTAACCTTGAGCACGATCGCTATCCGTCGAAACCAGGGGGGCGAGAGAAGTTAAGAAGGGAGAGAATTGGTCTGTACCATATCGAACGCGGCTATCTTTCTCCTCTTCCTCCGATCGGACTCTTCCATCTTTTCGGGCTCGTAACGACCAACAAGCAAAGTAGGCGACGAATCGCTACCATCGGGAGCGCGTTCGGTCCAGGTCGTCCGGTCCTTTGGTTTCTGGGACGTCGGGGTGAAGAAATTAGCCAGGACATTTTCTAGTGGTAGCATTACAATTAGCAAAGAATGCGATTAGTCGAGGAAGTTCATAGGCCACACACGAACTTGATATGTTACTTTGGGTTTTGCGCTTTGCAGGTGGAGGAGATACGGACTTTTCTAGCCCTTTCCGCTTGCTAGTATTGGGAAAAGATGATGCCATTCTGTAGAGTATTTGGTGGCTTGGTGAGGTTGTTGTCTTGGGTATGAAGTAGAAGATGTTTGAGCGTGTAAGTGTGTGAACAAGCGCGAGCTTGGGGAAGTTGTAGGTGCCCATGTCGACATGGTACACGTATGTACATGATGTACGTGTAAGTACCGAGGTACCTATTAAGCGGTTACCATAATACCTGCACTTAAGCCACATCATACATAAAGTTAAGTACGAAGCACGGCCCGAAAAGATTAAAAAGGTCCTTGATCGAAAACCCAATGTCCGTATATAAGTGAATATTTTGAAAAGGAAGAGGTGCTGCCACTTACCTACATGTAGGTAAAGCATTTAGTATGTAGGTACAAACTTCAAAGCTGATAGGTACCTAGGTACCTTAGGTAGTTACTAATACTTTTTAGTACGATATACTTCTGTCTTCAAGTTTACCGAAATAGATAAACACATGCACCTGCAAGTTATAACAGGGTATACCTATGTACCTACTGTTAGGTACCTACCCTACATATTAGATATTAGGTACCTACGGCATGATGCAGTGTATAAAGCATACCTACATGTATATTGGAAATACACTATACTACACCCTATCGCGCTCTTTCCTTACCCCTCCCCCATATCAACTATTACTATTATCACGACGTCTCAATATTGCCAGCCTCGAATATTTAATATTTCTTCTCCAGCGTCATGTTGTCGCTGTCGTTCTCGACCAACGAAACATGCAAGTTCATCAACCTCCCCAACCCAATTCGGCACCTAATCTATCGCCACGTAGGTTTACCTACAAACACTTTTCTATATCTTGACATCCCCCGATCCAGCCGTAGTCCTTATAGCGGAACCCACCAGGACCTTGACGATGTCCTCAACCTCTTGCTCGTCTGTCGAGTTATTCATGTTGAGGTATCGTCGTATCTATACTCGGCCAATACCATAGTCACCCACAGCTTGGGTCCTCTTATAAGGCTTAACACATCTTCTCTCTCACATCTTACTTCCCTCAAGATCCACCTTAATGTTGCTGGTACCAAGCATTGCGGACAGAGGTATTGGGGATATGATAGTGAAGGGCTGAGGGATTCCGACCCTCTTATATCTCAGTGGAAGGCCGCTATCGACCATATTGCCCCTCATATCAAACCCCGGCAGTTGGAATTAGCACTCATTTGCGACTGCGAGCCTAGACGGGCGAATGCCGCAAATCTCGTCTTAGCACCTCTTCGTCAACTGCCTATCCTGAGGCGATGCCATATTCGGCTTGGGTGTAAACCTCACCGTCAACTTCGCCAACTAGCCTGGAGTGCCGCTGAACGTGCTGTTGGCCTAGCACCGCCGTCCACATTTCAGTTTCTACGTCTGCCACCCGAGATACGCATCAGGATCCTAGAGTATACAGATCTTGTAACGCCCTTCAATAAGATTCGATGGAATCCGGGAGCAGGATATCATACCTTTAGAGAGTGCGACTCTCGTAAGTACGGACCGCCGTATTGTCACCCAAATGACCACCGAGCTTGCGTATCAAGCAAGGATGCCGGCAAGAGCTGCCTGGCGTGTCCTCACGGCGATAGTAGGGTAAGATATGGGCCCGAATCGCACTGCTGGCGATGTTTCCACTACGCCTGCCAATTTTATGACTGCGAGAGGCGTAGCACGGCAGGCGACCAGACCTACACGGGGTGCTTCTGCTCCCGCCGCCACGCCGCATATTCGCCTCTCTGTCGGTGTTGGGCTCCCCCTACTGCTTTCTTTCTCGTCAGCCGGGCTTTTCGAGAGGCTGCCGAAGCTGTTTTCTTTGCTCATAATCACTTTGTCGTCCGCACCTTTTGTTATTACAGTCGCCCGTCCTCCCTCGTAGGTAATACCACGCTGCCCCCTAAACGATATCCTGGATGCGAATTCCTCAGTGTCATACCCATAGAGGCGATACGACATCTACGATCTCTAGAAATAATATTTGATGACCAGGGACATTTGGCCCGTTACTCCCCACCTCCGTTGCGTTCTTTCGGTAGCATCAAGGACGGGCTTAGTCTACAGTTTCTCCAGATTATTGCACTACTGCTACCCGCCAGGGGTCGAAAAATGGGCATCGTAGCTGCTGAGAAGGGTGTGGACTATGTGGGAGATCTAGCAGATAGATATATATGGCCTCTCAGCCGCGCCGATCTTGTTTCTAGGGCTCAGACACTTGTCGTAGAGATCATCGACGTCGTCCCGGATATATTTTACTATGTGCGGTCGCCGTCAAATGAGTTCCCCATACATATGCAAGGCCGCTTACTCTATTCGAATTCTCACACGGCTCGACTAATAACAGGTAACTTTACAAGCGGTACCGGGAGCGAATTAGGAGATAGTACCTCTGGAATGCACGACCGTCAGCTAGTAGAAGGCTTCTGCCTCTATGGTGACATAACTTATCCCGAGTTCGAATTTTAGTGTTGCTCATGGGCTGTACAGAAGATCGTGATAGGTCTGCCTCCTATTCTTCGTCATGGGAGAGGGACTCAAGGGAAACCAACTTGGATGGTGGGTATGGGATTTGAAGGTAAGTTATTACTAACAATGAGCTTTGCATATATCTCTGTATTTTCACAATCTTCTCCATTGCTAGATAGTCACAAGAATCTAATCAAAGCAGAGTTACGACCCGTGAAGAAAGAGACCATTATATTTTAACCCTATGCCTTCTAAGAAGCAACTACGATCGAGTTGTAGTATCTTTATTACTCTTCCATCTTTATTGTATTTGGGGCAATAGACTTAGCATATTTGGCAACTTTTATCGTTAGATCTCAAACATCATATTCGGCCTAAACAACTGAGATATACGATAATAGTCTAATAAACGAGGATTGATTTACGCGCAATTTCATCCAAATGTATAAGTCAGTCTTCATCTAAAATATGCAACCTTAGATGTATGAGATGTTAATGAACTTCCAGCATGTTTGCTGCCCAATGGGCTTATATCTAGCGAGGACCGTCCCCGAACAAGACGCGAATGAAGCCGAAAGGAGTATCGAAGGTCTGACGACCAAAGTTGAAGGTCAATATAATCCTAGCAATACAGTACCCCGACGTACATATCGGTTGTTATGGTCCTTAGAAGAGAGTATGAGTCAAAATATTGAGTTCGTTAGTAACTTGCATTGGTGAAGTCATACCTAGGTCTACCTAGGACAACTTGGTTCGCATTATCCAAAGACGCACCGATATAGAAGTATTAAAGATGCCAGGTTAGGTACCTCCTAGTTATTCCTAAATAGCCAAACTGTCCAGCACCACTAAGGTTATGAGTCGCATATAACTCGCATTATAAATTTATGTAGAGCTAATGCCGCAGCTAACAAGGCTTGCAATGTCTTCCGGTTAGGTGAGATGACTTATTTGTCTATTAAATATCAAGAAATTTCTACCGATTAATCGAGTACTTTAACCATATCTGTATTAAGACTACGGGTTCCAACTAATAGAACCTCTTATATTGTAAGTGTCTAGCAACATAGTTATAAACAATCCGAACATCGTAAATACCTTACCAGGGCTTTGAATAGGCTCGTCAAGATGATGCTCAGGTTAAGTTTGTAATAAAAACGCTACGGCCCAGATTATGACGTTGGTAAACATACGGAGAGCATGGCATATCTAGAAACTGTAGTAAGATAGACTAGCATCAAAGACTTAACACAACGTCACAACATTGGCTTCGGTTCTCCAAAAACCCCTCCTGCAAGTATAAAGTGGAAATCAACTCACTAAGAAAGAACATAAAGACTATAGAACTGTAAGGCTAGATACCCCTAGCTTACACCAAACGGAAACAATATTGATAAGGTTGTTCCATCCTAAGCTTTATGCGTCGGGCTCATCATTGGTCACCTTAGTAGTTTGCCGACTACAAGAATCTATGTGTGATTAAGATACTTCTTCTTCCCAGTGAACGCGTAACCTCGCCTTCCTAACATAGCCTCTATTATAAACTGAATCTCGCAAAGCTACCTAGATCTAGGAGCGTAGGTAGGATAGAGGATATTTCGACCCTCGAGGTAAGCCTGACCAGACGCATGGAAATATGAGAAAATCTTTCATTATATTTCTGGGGCTCTACTCCGTAGCAGTCTGCTTACTACCCGATAATCCTGACTATAGTTTATAAATCTGATCACGATATCTATCTGGCCTCTCTGACTGGTGCCCACCTACCTTGGGGTTACAAGGTCTTAATCTCGCATTAGTGTTGTTTCATTCTCTTAACTTCAATACGAGGGTTTTCTCAAGCCATATGGAGTATTATAGAAAGATAGTCTATCCATCCATCGAATCAAATAGCGTATGATTCTGTCACGAGGTGGAACTAACCAGTAGGGAAACGACTTCACTGTTCCGCGAGGAACTCTAATCTATCTACGAGAGTCTGTATCTATGCATACTGAACGTGTCCTTTGTTCCAGATGTCTCATCTAGAATCCTGGCATATTCTCTATAACACTAATATAGTTACATCTGATCTCAGACTCCCCCGCTCTCCCCACATCCTAATAGTCCCGTAGAGTCCCATCACGGCTCGATCCGGCCGGCATACGGGCGTTAAATTGCATTGCCAAGGAACGGTAACCCAAGTTTTTTCAATGCCGAGTTAGAAAGATTAGGTAGGTGGTTTTGGAGACTGACTAATGTGCAAGTCCTTACGAGGTTTAAATCGAGACTGTTCCACTCACCAGACGCAGCTAGTAGGAGACTTGAAGGGACCAGTAACCACCCATAGAAAATTAGGAAACATGAGCGTTATAGAAAAGCTCAACGAGGAGGTTCAACACCAGGGGGAAATAATTACGGATGCGCCAGGGAGCTGCGGTGTCGATGAAGAGCAGGCCGTCTTGTTTAGACAGTTTTCTGCGGCGAGCTCGGATTGGCATCGCGAGATAACAAAGAGGCTCACTAAGAAAGTAGACCTTCGTCTGCTTCCGATGCTAATGTTGATGTACATGCTCAACTTCCTTGATCGAAGGTGAGTCGTGAGAAAGCTTCGCGCTGAATATTCTTTGGAACCTATCTGACTAAAGGGGAGCAGCAACCTTTCACAAGCTCGTCTCGGGACGTTAGAATATGATCTTGGCATGACGGGCACAGACTTCAACCTAGCGACGAGCATCCTGTTCGTCGGGTACATCCTCATGCAGCTTCCATCGAATCTTCTGATAACTCGAGTGTCGCCCTCGGTTTATCTGGGGGTAGTTATGACAATCTGGGGAGCTATATCTGCGGCTCAGGCGGCAACTCGCACGTTTGCTTCTCTAGTCATCTGTCGATTTTTCCTTGGCTTTGGTACGTATCATATTGTCGAGCAATAAAGATAGTCTCCCTACATTGCTTAAGCTGCTTTGCTATTCCTTGCCTTCTCTCATACATCAGGGTGCAGTTTATGGTGGACTCTCTGCATGATAGAAGCACGGGCGTTCTAAAGTGGCCTGCTCTTGAGCCAAAGCGCTAATGTATCTACAGCGGAAGCGCCATTCTTCCCAGGTGCAATCTTCCTAATGTCAAGCTGGTACACTCGGCCCGAGCTGGCCCTTAGGATCGCATGGTTCTACTGCGGGCACTCGGTGGCGAACGCGTTTGGCGGTCTCTTAGGTGCTGGGGCTCTGGGCAATTTGAACGGCGCCCATGGCATTGCTGGATGGTAAGCATCTACCCACCATATAGGCAAACTGGCTAACTGAAAAAGGCGATGGCTTTTCATAATCGAAGGTAGCATAACAGTCTTTTCTGCCATTTGTTCGGCCTTCATCTTGCCAAACTACCCAGCTACGACGAAATGGCTGTCTCCAGAAGAACGCGCGTACGCGCAGTGGAGGCTTATCAAGGACGCGGGAGAGGTGGATGTGGCCGACGCCTCGTCCATCAAAGAAGGGGTAATGCTGGCACTGCGCGACCCGCGCCTATACCTATTCACATTGCTGCAGCATGCGTCGCTCCTTTCGCAGACGTTTCAGTATTTCTTCCCAACCATACTGCAGACTTTAGGATACGGCAACATCGAAACCCTGCTCCTAACCGTACCCGTCTGGGTAGTATGCTTCCTGGTTTCCTTGGTCGTGACTTATACATCCGGGCGCTTCGCAGACCGCAGCATTCACATTATATGCTTGGTACTGATTTCTGTCGCGGGCAACATTATTGTAGTAGCCACGCTCAATAATGCAGCTCGTTTCTTCGCCTTATTCCTCTTGCCAATGGGTGCGGTTCCTGCTTATCAGGTGATTCCCCCCTATTCCCTTCAGCAAAGACGGTGATACGCACCTACGTATATATTCTGTTCTACCAAAAGTCGTGGGCATGGCTAATTTGGAGAATGTCCAAACTATAGATCCTTCTCGCCTGGGTAGCTAACAGTTTCCCACGCCCTCTGGTCAAGCGCAGCGCCTGCATTTCCTTCGCCAACATGATCGGAAATTCGGCCAATATATATGGCACCTACATGTACGTAATTGGCCGCACCGAGTTCTGCACATAACCTCGTGATGGAGCTTAGGCTCTTAGCAATGTACAAGAGTGCTGACCGCAGACTGTGTTTAATCCAAAGGTATCCATCTGTCGACGGGCCTCGATACCTTGCCGGTGGAAGCGCCACAGCAGCCGACGCGCTTCTTGTTGCCGTCTTAGCTATTATCGCGAGGCTTGTGTTGCAGAGACAAAACAGGAAACTGGCTATCCGCGAGGCTTCCGAGTCGGACGAGCTCCAGGCGCAGCCCGGTAGCCCAACTACAACTACTCCAGTTGGCTTCAGGTATATGCTCTAAAACTAACCGGGCTACCCCGTTAAGGATTGCATACCTTAGTCTATCCAGCATGCAGGTCCTTTGCTGCGGAATCGGGGAACTAGAGCAAGTATATATACTAGGTATATATATATATATATACGAGGTTGGGCATTGATGTGTGGCGTATTCTCGAGTGATCCATGGTCATACTTTACGTTGCCGATCTTTCAATAGACTTTCTGATGGCTGGATTATATTATTTGCAATTGGAGTGGCACGTATGGAGGCAGTGAATCCTTCTTGACGCCTCGAATACTACCCCACCGTGGACGTTTTAACATTGAGCCATCCGATATATGCTGTCAAACTCGAGCTGCCCCCCTCTCCCCCTCTACTCTTTGCAGAAGCCACAAAGCACGAGGAATCTGTGGGTAGAAGATCTAGTAAACCGAACATACCGTATCATATATACTGTATCATCCACCAACCGTAACCCCAAAACATGCACGATAATATACTAAGAAAACACTGATGCTATCCACGGGGTTTCCTTATCCAAATTAGACGTTATCTCGATCTAATTACATGGTAAGGTTATTCATATACACGATTCTTATCCTTCACACATCGTCTCCTCGTCGCCCCCAAGGACAACAAAAGACCCGCTAACCGGAGTCGAAATTGACCCTTGAAAGCCGGAGGGCTGCGGTTATCGATGATGATCGACCCAGCAAGCTAATATTGCCCCCTCATCCACATGCCAGATAAACTTGTGCTCTGTGGCATCGTCGTTCTCCTCCTTTTCTTCGATCCCCAAAAGTTAGACAAGACGATGTACAGCAGGTACAGTAATACACAGAGCTATTGCAGTAGGCGATCCTCTTCTGTTGATTTTTTCTCTCTTCTACTTCCCCCTCCTACACTCCCAAGCACCGATGCAATGATATGCGGGTAAACACTAGGGGTTACCAATTAGAAAGATATCCGGAAAGATATCCAAGTTACTACATCCCGTTCTCCAAAATTCCAATGCTGCGCGATTTCAAAAACTTTTGTTTCCCATATGTAACCGGTACAGTATCCGCCCTCGAGACGTTGGGTATGAATTCTGTATACGTGAGGAATAAGGTGTACAAAAAAGAAGGAAGAAAATGAGCAAGTCTATGTAATGTCCCGAGAGTCGGCATATTCTGTCGATCCCAGCCACGTATGTGCAGATGCATAACGTAGGTCGCCGATATTGTGCAATATCAGGGACTAGACACGCCAAAGAAATGGTCCGGAGAGTGAAGTATATGCAGGGGGGGCTGCTTTCGGTCTCGGGCCGAGGCAGCCTCACCAAGATTATGGCCCAAGGGGGGCGGTTTTTAAAAATAAATAAGAATTTTCGAATTCGATACGCCAACGCCCTTGCGATGCATGCGAATGTCGTTAGAGCAGGCTAGTGCTATCATCGCGGTCGTCCTCTAAGTGGTATCCAAATAAACGAGCAAATGGTATCTCTCTATGCTGCAAGACATAAGATAGAAGAAAAATGGAAAATGAGCGTAAGTGACATCAGAGTCGTAATCGTCATTAAATAGGTAATCGTCGTTGGTCGTAAGAGAGGTCACTCGGGATTAATGACCACACAATATAAGTGAGGCTTTATTTCTTCAAGCCGACTTTGCCAGCTAGATTGCGCCAGAAACTTTTACGGTCCGCGCCATCGAGGGACATCATCGCCGCCTCTCGAACCATTGGGCCAACGATATCCTCGTCGCCACGCTCCGGAAACTTTCCCTCGGCGTATATTCTCGGAACAGTAGTTAAAACATCTTCGTCAAACTTATCGCAAATTATCGTTTCGCCAGTAGCAACAATCGCCTCGGCTATCTCGTCGTGAAGATTACGCCAAGCTCGCTGAGTCTCGGCCCATTTGGCTTCCGTAAGTGCGTAGGTTTTAGACGTTTGGCCGTAATGCTCGCCTGTTCGCGCGAGGTGTTTAGTATAGTTTACTCGTGCCGTCTCCCAATCCGCCCGGAATCGTCGTAGAGCATCCAAGTCGACGGTTTCAGGCTTGTACGGCTTTGGGACAATCGTGTAATTCGCATGTCCTAAACGGTCAGACCAGGCATCTGGCGCAGGAAGTTGGGGAAGCTCTACTGCGCCTGGTACGAGACGGAGAGATGAACTTGAGGGCCTCGTGCTGAGTGGCGGAGATAGTAGACCGGACGAATAAATGTCATCCCCTACAGGAGAAGCTGGAGAGGCGACGCTCGGGGATTCCAAAGGGGAGGGTTGCATCAGGATGTGTTCGGTCGAAGCAGAAGCCATCATAGGCGGCAGAAGCGGTGTTACTGCCTGCTTACGCTCATGCTCGATGGCTGAAAGGACGTCGTTGGTTTGCTTAGAATCGATAGTCCTATCCAAGGGCATAAAGCTGTCGCTGCTCCCGAAACGCGACAGGGCAGGCGTAGGGGGAACGACGGGTTCGTTTGAGCGGTCATGATGATGCCGACTAGGTGCCGAGACCGACGAAGATCGACTTGAAGTTGCTCGAGACAAGACCGGTCGCCCCTCAAATGCGTAGTCGGATACGGGGGAGCTGATGATACTGGACGGCTTCGTCGATCTCCACCTCTTAAAAGACGGGAATCTGGAACCTAACCGCTGCGAGAATCCTGCAAGTGATGACTCGTAGTTGTCTCTACGCTTCTTGAACGAGCGCAAGCTAAAATCGCCATCGCTGAAGAAACCTAGGTCATAGTCGCCTACACGACTTTGTGTGTAGAAATTCGATGTGCTCTGTACTAGATCGGCATCCCTGTGGATGCAAGGCTCGTCGCCTATAATTTAAAACTTGTTAGAACTGAGAGCAGCGGGACAGGAGTGCAACGCAACATACATAAACAATGATATAACTCAGACGCATCATCATCGTCATAATCAGATTCGCATTCCGAGTCTTCGTATTCTATGGGTTCTTCTTTCACGTCCGGCAGTACGCGTTTGCTCGAGTTCTGCGCTGTTTGCGTTTGTGTCGGCGACGAAGGGCTCTCGGAGCTCGCTACCGTTGCGAGGTCGAATGACGACATGGAGCTGGAGTAGCGCAAATGACTACGCGTCGAAAACGTCGGCGTCACCGGTGATGTCGCGTCGGATGAGAAAGAGTCTGTAGTATAAAAATTGTACGGTATGTCGGCCTCTATCTCCCGCTGGGCCGCCTCTTCCTCTTCTTTCCTTCGTCTCTCCTCCACTAACAAGGGCAACTGTAAAGGTCGTAATTTAGGAGACATGTTGCAAAATCGGCACAACCACAGCGAACACGTCGTCGTCCAACTAAGAGTCGAGCGTGCTGCAACAATTACAGCGGTAGCTTCACGTAGTCGCGTTATCGTTGTTGGTATATGTAAATTCGTAGTGGTGCTTGGTGGGGTGATAATGCGTCAGGGTAAATACGACATCCAGTATTCTTGGTAGCGCTACGCTGGAGAATAGATTGTCTTTCGACAAGACGGAGACGGGGAGGCAAAGGGAGAGAAGAAAAAGGTTGCCCCTTCTTTCGGCCCTAATAAACCACTTCGACGTGTTATAGATAGATAAAGACCTGGTAATAACAAGACGGCTCTGAGTTTATGCTGGTATCCAAATCTCGTGACAGGTATTCTTGGGAAAATACCCAATTGCATACAAGTATATACGTGTACCGGTGGACGCTCTGCCTTGCCCTATCGACGTTCGGGTAGTCACACTGGTCCACGTGTTCTGGGCACTGTAGCTTGGGTGTAGCTTGGGGTAGTTGAGATTCGTGGGGTTGTAGTCAGGCTGCTGCGTGTCTCGAGAATGTATACTGCTTCGCCAATCAACTAGATAGTATCACGCCAATACTGACACACAATCCCCTGGCCTTCCAAAAGGTCGTCCTCTCTGCACCTTGACAAAATTGATAAGACTGCGAGCAGCGTACGACATAAACCAATAAGTCTAGACGAGCGAGGCGTTGCAGTGATATATCGTGCGAGTCCAAGTCAACCGTTATTATTCCCCAGAATCTCGGGTCAGACCAAAGAGCTTGTTTATTGGCAGTCCCCAGGCGTCACAGTTGTATTGTGCGAGGGTGGGTAGGAGTGAAAAGGAGGAAAACCGTACGTATGAAAGATTAGGGAAAAGGCCTTTTTTCTTCTTCTGTTTTGGCTTGAGTTAGGAGGACTGCAGCAGGGTGCACTAGTTGGCTGGTGAGCATGGGAAAAACGGGATCGAGCGGGTGGCTTTGCTTAGACCGTGCCATGTGTGTATGTATGTAGGTATTCTCCCTGAATGTTATGGATGGACGGGTCCACTGAGGCCGGCCCTACCGCTCTGCCGTCTTGGACTCTTTGACATCTTGCAGTCTTCCGTGGAATCATGAGCTTTGCCCTTTTTTTTCTTCCTTTTTTTTCTCTAATCCTTGTAATCCTAGCTTGCTTAAGAGCCCGACCAACTGGGATGACACCTCGACCGCTCAGGCTGCTTACAGGTTAAGCTTAACAGCAGGGGTCCGGGGAGAGCTTCCACTAAGTTACTGGTCCGTTCGGGGGCAAGTGGACTGTAGCCAAGGAGAGGGTCCTTCTGGCGGCGGCCGTGTACCTATGTATTCTAACGATTCTAGGTTAATAGAGTACCTCATACATATGTACATTAGGTAGTAAATGCGGCCACGCATGATACGTAGTGTTCCACAAAACCGAACGATTCTTATTAGCCAGCCAACCCAGTCAACCCAGTCAACCCAAAGATGTTGCTCCCAGTGCCCCCTCTACCGGAATCTCTACCTTCTGTCTTTCTCCACCGCTTAGAAAAAGGCTGAGCCCCTACATATATGTATGGCACATGCCCCTACGTGTCCTAGTCCTCACATGGTCGAAACGAACCCAAACAAAATGAATAATAGGAGACGTATACCTACGCAGCCGCAACAGTAGGTAGTTGAAAGCACAAGAGGGGGTTGGGCGAGGCAGGGCTTGTGGCCTGTGTGCCAATCCCATGTGAAGCCGAATGATCTGTTGAATTAGAGAGATAATCGATCTCGTGTTCTATCTCTGTTCTTAAAAGTCAGATGCAGCAATACATTCACTTAGCATTACGCAAACCCGAGAGTTGCTATAAGTGCAACAGTTTGACGCAATTATGACCTATCTTTACCTTGATACCTTGTAGACAGAACATATGATTATGGTCTACTTAACTACGCCATACTGAAAATGTCTTTCAGATTTATACCTATGGACACACATACATACCTACCTA